ATCAATGGTGTTGGCATCTCGGACCCTCATCCTCGCCCTCGTCACCTATCACTCGGAGGCCCTTCCTCGATAGACGCTATAGAAGAAGCGGTGGACTCTCACAAACGGAGCTCACAGTCCTGAGAGGCTCGATTACAAGACAGCTCGACAAAGGAAATCTGCACCGAGAACACGACAAGCCACGAAGAAGGAGTGTCTTCCTTGATATCATCTCCCTTGGACACGCCGAACTGCGGCACCGCCGAACACCTAAGTCGTGGCCGCTGACGAAAGGACCGGTAGCCCATCGACCCCTTGTCCTGGTCATTTTGGAGCTCGTCACGCGGCTTTGCTCTCAGCACCTGCCACACTCCATTCTCTCAAGACGCGCGAGGCATCGATCCCCAGAAAAGCAGGCGTCAGGTGTTTGCCATTACTGCCCATCACCACGGAGCGGCGCGAGGAGAGAGCATCTAGTTTCCCCTCCCCCTCCCCTCCTCTTTCATCTTTCCTGACGGGTCTTGTTGTTCCCGCAGCCCTGTCTTAAACCCATCCATCCCACCGCCTCCGATCCTCGTGGGGGTTTTCCTGCTCGCCGGTTCAGTCAGTACGTCCAAGTCAAAGCCCTGTCGCCTTCCCCCCCTCCCCCTCCCTACACAGCGCGCAGGAAGCAGATCAACTTTTCGAGACAACTCTGCGAGCAGCGAGCGTGGAAACAAACGGCATCATGCTTTCTCTTGCATCTCTCCTCAACCCTTCCCCTCAAGGATCCTCCCCCGCCCCATCCACCACCCGACTCCCTCAGTTCATGCCCAGCCCTACAGCCTCCTCACCCGCCACCTCGACCGCTGATGATACCTCGCCGTCACGCATCGGAAGGCCGCTCGTGAGCAAGTTCAGGATGACCAAAGAGCTGCTCACCGTCAAATCAAAACCCAGGGGTCCTATCAATTACTGGCCCTACCAGGATGTCGACGACGTTGCCCGCCGCGCGGTGGAGAAATTCCAAGTCACCCCTTTTGGCCAGATTCACAACTGCTGCGCACACATTCCGTACAACAGCGGGAAGAAAGACTTCTACGAGAAGACGGGGCGGGAAAGCTTTGAAGGTGGGTTCATCATTGATGTCGAATGTCGCGTACGTCTGCTGATGAGTCGTGTCGCCAGTCTTCAAGTACGAGTTCAGGGTGCCTGGCGTTGACGCCGAGTTTATGGTCATGTGGGACTACAACATTGGCCTGGTTCGCATGACGCCCTTTTTCAAGTGCTGCAAGTACGGAAAGGTATGTTTCGCACTTGGCTTGACCGAGCCTCACAGGCCTTGCTGACTGGCGTGCTCGAGACGGTGCCAGCGAAGATGTTGAGCCTCAACCCTGGGCTCAAAGACATCACACACAGCATCACAGGCGGTGCCATTCTGGCTCAAGGTCGGTGACGACGCCCCCAACATGCCCATGAAGCGTCCTGCTAACACCGGCAAGGATACTGGATGCCCTACAACTGTGCCAAGGCTGTCTGCGCGACATTCTGCCACGACATTGCTGGAGCGTTGATCCCGCTCTTCGGTCCCGCCTTCCCATCTGAATGCATACCGCCCGGTGCCCCCGAATTCCAACGCATGATCATCAGCTCGCAGATCATATACGACGCCCAGCGCGAGGCGGAGATTACGCGCCGGACTATCCTGCGTGCTCTCGCCTCGGGCCATCGTGTCAGCGGCGGCGGCGGCTACACCAGCAGCCCCGACTCCCGCCAGGACCGCCGACCCCTCCGGCCGGTCCGTGACGTCGACCGCCGTCTCCGCGTCTATACCCGGCTCCTGAGCCCCTACAGCACAGACACGGACGCCGAAGGCCATCACTCGGGCCCGGAATCGGGTCCGGACTCGGCCTCGAGTCTGGGCTCCAGCGCTCTCGGCTACGCTTTCCACCGCCCGGCCGCCCCGACCTCCATGCGGCACACCTCTGGCTGGACGGCCGCGAACCATGGGTACCCGCCTGTGCAGGCACGTCCTCAGCAGGCCCCGCCAGCGTACCACCGGGAGGAGATGGGATTCCAGCCGCCGAACCCCTGGCTCAGCGCCGTCCCCCGGTTCGCCCCCGCGCCCGTGACGTCGGCAGCGCGTGCGGCGCCGCCGCGCAGCTCAACCCCCGACGCAACGGACGTGGCCCGGCTAAGCGGCGGCTCGATCAGTACGACTCGGCCGACACGGACGAGTGGGCGAGGAAGCCCAGAACGGCAAGCCCGGGCGGCTCCCCGGTCCATTGCGGAGAAGAGGCGGGAGGAGAAACGTGCCTGGCGTGGACCCTGCCGAGAAGAACGCAGCGTTGCTGTTGATGGACCTCAGCGTGCGGGACCAGAGTTTCGAGCGGCGTGCTGCGGACGGAGAGTGTCGGGACAAGGGCCGTGTCAGCGATACTGACGTGGATCTGCATCGGGCCAAAAGGAGAAGGGCGGCGAGTCTGCCTGCGATAACGTCGTTGTAATGGGATCCTTCATGGCATCTTGGGTTGATTTCTCTGGCATTCCGTTTTTTTTTTTTACCTTTTGTCTCTTTTTGCTGACGAGTTGGGAGCAAGGAATAGATGGACGACTCAGGTCTGGAGAGGATTGTTTTTTTTTTCTCTTTCTCTTGTATTGAAGGCGTCGTAGGCATACCGCATCAGATTGCATCACTTCATTGGACCGTTCGCTTGCCATCGCTGTGCTCTTCCCTATCATTCATGTCATTCTTCATTTCCCTGGCCGACGCCCCTTAGTTCTTATTTCCCAACACCAACAACAAGTTGCTTCTTCTCGGCCGCCTTCTTCATCTTAAAGTCGTCCACCCAGGCGGCGGCCTTGGCCTTGGGCACGACAAAGACCTTGAAGACGTCATCGACAATCTCGACGCTGCCGGAGGCCAGGACCTTGAGCAGCGGCATCTTCTTGCCCCACCTCATGAGGCCGCCGTCGACCGTCTCGACGTAGCACTCGGTGGCGTCGAGGGTGTAGGCGGCGGCGCGGTCCCAGGGCAGCGGGAAGATGTAGCGCAGGTGGTCGGCCAGGACGTCGGCCTCGCCAAAGGCCTTGACAAGGTCCGACTGGAGGTCGGTCGGGTACAGCAGCACGACGGGCACGACGAGGCTGCTGCGCGGGTCCTCCTCGTCCGGCACGAGGCGGACGCGGGCGTCCTCCATCTCGGGCGGCTGCGGCGTCGCGCGCGTGCGGATGCCCCGCGCCGCCAGCGCCGCCCGCAGCACGGCGGCCCTGCGGCGGG